AATCCCTGCTGTAAACACTTATCGCCCTGCTTCCACATCTCACACGCGTCCTTATGTCGACTCTCGTCACTGGGACGGAGTCATAATGGCGTCCCTGGTGCCCCCCCTTACCCCAGGCTCATGCTCACCCTGCGTCACAGGACGCCTCCGGGCAGGAACAATCTGGGATGAAAGGTACCCTTTATCCTGGGGTTTTTTTTGGATGTAAAGCACTGTGCATTTGTCATGTTCAATAGAGAAGTTTCACCATACTGGCCTCCCACAGATACAGGGCTGCCAACTCACGCTTTCAGACTCTCGCGTTCACGCGAGGAATATTACAGGGAAATTTATATTATTCAATTATACAACTAAAATTATCTGCATCAAAAGCATTGGGGTAGTTTGCAAAGCTTACAGAGTATTTACAAGTTAATAAAACTGTAACATACATCTAAATGAGTGTGTCAAATTGTAAATCTCACGCCAGTCAGCTGGGCCAAAGCTGGTGGCACAGCAGATAGCAGCACGCCTGTCATATACTTACTGCTTCCAGTCTAGAGAAAAATACGATTTCAAAAAAGAGTAACAGGATACATAAATATACTGGGCATATTGTGTGATATCATGGGACTCCTTCTCTCTGACAGAGTATTTATTACAACCCGGTTTTGCATAGTTACTATTCAAAAAAAGAACAAAGAAATATATCCACCCACAACAAAGAGTCTGCAAAAAAACCCAGGGAGCTATCAGACTCCCCCAACCATTTAAAGACCTATTAGCATTTAAAGAGTTGAATCAGGCCTGTTTTATAATGGACTGTTGTAATAGAAGAGCATAAGCACATTTAATTTCTATGAGGGTCTTTTGGGATGAGAGGTGTGACCGTAACGGGAATGAGACCGAATTTCTGGGTGAGAAAGGAAGACAGTTCTTATTCTGGGGTGTGACATTGATGTCAGACCATTTGGAAAAACTCTTACTAAAACCAGGATGTGAGTGGAGACTCCCAATTCTCTGCATGCTACCCATACATGGTACTGTCAATAATCAGGGTCAGGAGGTCTTCATCCAAAGGAACATGACAAGTAAAACGACCAGATATTAAAACATCCAGTCCCTTTTTCGGATGCCGGCCAAGCCCTGCCAATTTAGTGGGCACTTTCCATGAGTCTGAGCCGACATCTGCCACACTATGCTGGCACGCGTCTGGCCCGTATAATCTAGCGTGACTCCGGGGTGTTTCCTCGGTTGCATGTTAGCATGCCAGTCCCCCGGGTTGTGGCCTTCTCAGGCAAAGCGCCCTTATAGAACAATATGTAACAGGGTGGAGCACCGTACGATCTATTGCAACTGGAATCTCTTCAGCCACTGACCAGGTTTAGCTAACACACGTGACGGGAAAAAAAAAAGCCTCCCAGTTCGAGGCTCAGTCAAGACACATGATATTTTGACATTTAATTAGGTAACTTTATATCTGGGCTGCAAATGTTGATGTTATGAAATGAGTCATGGGATTATTGCTACTGAACATTAGAGTCACACTTTGTTGTTGTTGTTTTTTTTTTGCTCACTGTTGGATGTGGTCACAGAGGCAGATCGTCCTACAGGGAAGGTTTTTTTTTCCCCAGCAATCTTTGGCAGAGGTATAAAGAGAGAGACAGCCTAGTGTTTGGCTTGATTGGTGATTCAGGCCTAATATTTTATAACTTCCTTTTGATGTGGGGAACAAAGTAAGGATTCCCTCGTCTAGCGTTACACTCTCTTGGAGAAGCTCTCAAGGCGAATCAGAGCGGAGGCAGTGGGTCTGTGCAGCAGTGTGGTCACACCATGCAGGCTTAAGAAACCCCCATAACAACAGGTCTAGGACCAGCATTTCTTTAGGTGCATGTTTTTTGTGTATCAGTTATATTTGTATATTAGCAACATTTTGTGGACGAAGCAGAAAAAGGTATTGATTGAAATGAAATATATGAATAAATCAAAAGCTTCAATAACTTCCTGAATTTCAGCAATTCATTTTTGTCCTATAGAGAACATTCTGATTTTGCTCATATGTCTCATACTATACATGCCACGCCATTAAATCCTGTTCCTTAAAGAGAAGAATTAAGGATTTATGATGACATCACTTGTGTGGGGCTACACATGTTACCATCCCAACACTCAATTTAAATGGCATCTCCGAAGGATAAAACTAGAAAAAAGACTGCAGGTTTTTAAAATAAAGTATCTGACACAGATGCTATTATATACTGTATCGGCCCAGTGTTTTTTGCTAGAATTTAAATGTTAATGTACATAAACAACAGTAAATGCTGTAAATCATCTGTCTCTTGTCCGTACCCTTCAAACGTAATTGACAGAATCAACGTCATTTTAGCAATACGATGGAATATTAGCAGTGAGTCAGTCCGCTTTACTTGAAATCCCAGGCAAACAGGCTGCAGACTCGCTCACCGCAGTGATTTACTGAACGCCGTTTGCTTGTTGGGAGGGTGTGGCTGGCATCATCTCCTTAACAGGGTCACAAGGTATGCCAGCGACTACCAGAAGAAGATCTGAGGAAATCCACTCCTCCATTAGTCATACCATCTCCACTGCATCTGAAATCCCAAACTGGCTCTTTGGACAACATCTGCAGATGCCCAGCCGGCGGGGGAAGCCGTTGGGGGGGGCGGGGGTGGCAGCACGAACGTGCTTGGCCCCATGGTACTAGACATGACTGACCAGGCCAACTCAAACCTTCTAGGGTCCCAACACCTTCCCAAAACCCTCTCACAGAACACCTCGCCTTCATCCTCTGCCCAGCCAAGGAACAGAAACAGGAGGCACTGTCAATCAGAGCATGGCTCTGGATCAGCCCCTAGGGGAGCCAGAGAGCACATTATCTTTAGTGAGTCTCTCTGGCTCCTATATCTTCACATACAGCTGCACCCAAGAAGAGACGCAAGACAGTCCCTCTGGACGGGGTCCACACTGAGGAGAGATCTCTGTGCCTTTATTAGATACATTGCTTTTGACTAAAGCAATTCCACTCTAAATCTACTCAAATCTACTGTGATATCCTTACTAATGTGCAGACCTACTCTGAAGTTCTCGCACATGCTCAGTAGGCAATGAGGGAACAGCACCAAAGCGCATTGGTTTTTTAGAAAATGGGCCACATAGAAATGCTGAAACATCTGCGACAGTCTCGCTTATTTTTATCCGTCGGTTCTGTGCATGCCGTGTCCATCGCTAACCCTTTAATTATAATGAGAAATAATGTTTTACTGCTACCATCTGGGGCTGCTTGCCACTCCCAAAAACAATCAGGGGTATATCACAATAATAACACAGCCACAGTCTCCCAGTTCCGAAAACGCCACCATGACTGACACCTCCACTGAATGGCCTGCTTTCCAGCATGTTCCATCGGAAATTCCGAGGGCCCCGGTTTGAGGGTTAGAGGCAAACCAACTAAGCTTTCCATACCACAGACGGAACCTGCTGGAGGCAGACCCCCCCCATCAGTGAATGTTTGCCTAAGAAGTAAGTGTAATGCCCAAAAAACAGGGACATCCAACTTGTGTCCCATCAGCAGTCATGTAGAACCTTGCTGGCCTCAAACGTCCTAGCAAAATATACTAAATGTACAAACAGCTAATGAAGGTGTAAAGAAAAACACGGGCAAAATATCTATTTAAAAATACTATTTAAAAATGAACTAGCCAATGGTCTTATGCACCAGTTCACCCAATTCCTTCATCAAGTGACCGAAGTCCCTGTCCACTCAGACAGCAGACTGGGGTGAAAAGTGTTTTTTTTTTTTTGTCAGTGTTTAGAGCTCCAGCCCTTTAGCCTTCAAGTGTCACATGACAGAGGCAAAGGAACAATGGCAGCAGAGGCAGCCCCAACTCCAAAAAAGGCTGCCTTTCTCTGTCCCGTCGCTGCCTGAGGACACTGGCAAGGAGACGACCTCGGAGAGACCGTCCTGTCCGCGGCCCGCGCCGACACGGCTTTGATTAATGAGCCGTCACGCTCTTTCTCAAACCTCCATGTGCTCCCTCCTTTCAAATCTCACATATACGTCAAGTCCACTTCTTTCCTCACACTCTCGATTTTATTCAGTTAAAACATTTTAGTGCCGTCAGCAAGACGACTTTCATCAAACAGCCATGCCTTTCACTCTGTATTTTGGGTCATTTTTGAATAGGTTTTCCTTCTAGTCTTTGCGGTTTAGTGAACAGTGTTTACTATAGATTTGTTTTTTACTATTCTGTCTCGCTACAGCCTGTGGGGGGCATCAGTGTGACGGACTGGAGGATGAATAGTTTTGTTTAGCTCTTTCACTGAGATTTTTTGCTTTGGTGTTTAAACATGGGAGAAATTCGGTAGTGGCAAGTGACATACCATTAACACCACATATCATACCAATGTATGGAGTTCAACAGAGATATGCATTTCACGACGAATCACTGCTGTTCTTTGAAGACAACATGGTACTAAAGTTTCCTTTTACACCTTAACTAATGCAGTTACATTTTCACTGGAGTGAATTTCAGTTCAGTTGGTAAAAGTTGGAGAAAGAGTGTCATATCAGACATGAACCCAGTCAAATATAACACAGGATACGGTCATGGTAACATGCTTTTTAAGATTCACTGTAAAATTTACGGCACATGGCAAACGATATTTTTAAACATAACACAATATTACATTACGTAAAAAATATTCCAAAATAGATTTTGTTAAACAGCGGTACGTCTGACGCGTTTTATCGTGCATGTAACAACGTCAATTTTATTTTCTAGGAATAGTTTTTACCGTTAAATACGTCTTTTGTTTCTAATTGTTTTTATTTTCTCTTCTTTGATCGTTTGCAATTGCAAAAACAGTTAACTTAATTATACAGCTCGGGAAAAGTTACAGGAATTTGCATGTTAATTGTTGTTTATTTTCTTTCATCGCATTGCATCGGTATGGACAAAAAAGCAAATACCAAACGTGCAGAGAAAATAATTATAAACATTTACCTAGTTCATGCAAGGGTCTGAATCCTCTTCAGGCTCATGGATCCACTGTCTACGGCACTTTTAGCAATTTGAAGTTCATCCACATATGATCATGAGGGGAAAAAGTTTTCCCGTGGGATCTCACACCTGTGATATTCTTACTAATGCGGAACTGACACGCATCCGCCAACAAAAGGTGAAAAAACGTTCGAGTCTAAGAGAGGTTGATACCACTTAGTCAAGTTGCGTTGAGTTTTGCATCTCACACACCCCAACAAGTGAACGATGGTGAGCAGCAATTTGCCCCAACACAAGAACCCACGAGCGACTCTCGCTGTGACCTCATCGAGTTCTCAGCCAATCAGAGCGGGCATCACGTTAACTGAAAAAAGCAACATAAACATCGATTTTTAAAATGTATTCGAAAAATGTTTATCATAGTAAATTTTTAATTTGTTGATGATACATTTTAATTTTGATAATAGCGAATTGTCGATAATAAATCTTAACCGGTCTTACAATTAAACAAGTACAAAATAGAGTAAAGCTATTTTGAGTAAAGTTCTAAAAAATATACTAAGAGTATAAAATATGGTACTTTTAACTATACGAATCGATATAATAAATAACTGAGTGATGTGAGTGTGAAATCCAGTTAGGAAAAGCATCTCCTTCAGAACTTCGAGGACAAAAAGTGTCCTGCGTAAGTAATTTGTGGATTTTGGCGCCATCTAGTATTCAAATTTCCTTAGAACCCCAGAGAGTTTTCAAACGCGCCGCCTTTTCACAGCCAATAAAGTTAAAAATTATCTAGTGCAGGGGTGTCAAACTCCAGTCCTGCGGGGCCGGAGCTCTGTGTAACTTAGTTCTTTCCCTGTTCCACCACAAATAATTCAGCTCAAGAGCTGTGTGGTAATTAGCACAAGGAGGTGAATCAGGTGTGTTAAATGAGGGGAAACCCAAAAATGTGCAGGGCTCTGGCCCTCCAGGACTGAAGTTTGACACTCCTGTTCTAGTGGGAGTGAAGGAAATTTGCGTGAAACAAATGAACTTACTTTTTAATGATACAAATGTGCAGAAAAACAGATGAAATGCAACTTATCAAAATTAAAATTATGTCTTAAATGTACTACAAACACATTACAGTTACAAATTACATTTGTGGCCACATTTAAATAATCTGGATTTCTATATAAATTACTTATAAAATGATCTGACCTCATCACAGTCTTATCACAGACAGTCTTATTTAACAAACCACAAGTATTACATATCTTCGTTAAACAATCAAGGTCATTGATGGAAAAAGTACATGAACCTCTGGGATAATGACCTACAGAAAATAAGCCAGTTGTTCCATTCAGTTCAGGTGTGGATTTGGTCAACCCTGCCATACCAAAAATGAAAATAATAAAAAAAAAAAACAAAGGCTCCAGACCCCCCACAACCCTGACTAGGATAAGCGGGTACAGGAAATGGATGGATGGATGGATGGATGGATGAAACAAACACAATTTTAGTTAGCTGTTCTTCCCAAAGAAATTCTGTGAATAATGACAAGAACTTTAGTCCACAGTCAGGCAGATTCACAAATGGAAGAATGAAAGCATGATGCTGCCTCAGGGCCTGGATGACTTGCAACCATTGAGGGCCCAATGGATTCCAAGATGTATCAGAAATTTCTACAGCTAAAACACAAAAGAAGCTGCGTCTTACGGCATGACAATGATCTGAAACACAGGAGTAAATCAACACCAGAGCGGCTCAGACAGAAGAAATTCTGATTCCAGTGGTCAGAGTCCTGACCTCAGTGACACTGAAATGCTGCGGTGTGATCTGAAAGGCTATTTAAGCAAGACATCCTAAAAATACACGTGAACTGAATCAGTTTTGGTTGAAGTTACTGACAAGAAGCTCCACCTAGTTACTAAATATGAGGGATCACATACTTACTACATCAATGACCTTGACTGTTGAAACCATTTGCTCAATCAAGATATGGAAATGTATTGTTTATTTAAGACTCTTTATAAAAAAAATAAAAAAAAATAAACAAACAAATATACTATTATGACAATACCTACTTGAAACTACAGTGGTGTGAAAAACTATTTGCCCCCTTCCTGATTTCTTATTCTTTTGCATGTGTGTCACACAAAATGTTTCTGATCATCAAAAACCGTTACCTATTAGTCAACTCAAGTTCGTCAACTCAAGCTGAAGCGATCTTGGGTGCTGCAGCAGGACAATGACCCAAAACACACCAGCAAATCCACCTCTGAATGGCTGAAGAAAAACAAAATGAAGACTTTGGAGTGGCCTAGTCAAAGTCCTGACCTGAATCCTATTGAGATGCTGTGGCATGACCTTAAATGGGCGGTTCATGCTAGAAAACCCTCAAATAAAGCTGAATTACAACAATTCTGCAAAGATGAGTGGGCCAAAATTCCTCCAGAGCGCTGTAGAAGACTCGTTGCAAGTTATCGCAAACGCTTGATTGCAGTTATTGCTGCTAAGGGTGGCCCAACCAGTTATTAGGTTCAGGGGGCAATTACTTTTTCACACAGGGCCATGTAGGTTTGGATATTTTTTCTCCCTGAATAATAAAAACCTTCATTTAAGAACTGCATTTTGTGTTTACTTGTGTTATCTTTGACTAATAGGTAACGGTTTTTGATGATCAGAAACATTTTGTGTGACACACATGCAAAACAATAAGAAATCAGGAAGGGGCAAATAGTTTTTCACACCACTGTATATTAAATGTTTATGTAACTCTAATTTTAGTAATACATTTGGGATGAGTTTTCTCTTTCTAAATACATTACAGAGGAAATGTCTTGTTGGAAGATGAGTTAAATGACTCGGCCCCAGCTCAGAAACAGCCAGTGTGCTATGCCTTCATCCTCATTTCCAGGCCAGAGTTTTCTTGTTGAGGGGACTTGTCATCCATAAGCAGACAACTGTCATGAAAGAGAGAAAATGATCACAACAGCTGCAGTTGTGGTGGAGGTGCTGTGGTAAGTGCTGTCCAAGTTGGAGGGTAAAATCAAAGGAAAGAAGGCAACTCACACCTTAAATGAGGTGCTCTACTCTGCCAGCATCAGACTCAGCACCACTATCTGTTAGAAAAGGAAAAACCATCCTCATATGTATGATAAGCTCTTTGTGTCCTTGCCTTCTAATAGCATTTCACTGTTCTGTTCCATTTCTTCAGTTAATACTTATAATTAACAGTAACTGTGAAATGAATTAATGTATATAGTGAGACTGTATATTAAAATATAAAAATTGTAAATTTTCTTTTGAGACATAAAAGATTATGATTAGATTACACCTACTTTAATGGCCTCATGCCACTGTGATTTATTACTCTTTAAAAAATTATAAAAATCTAATATTTCTCATGAACATTACTTCTCAGTGTTTTAGAATAAAACTGAAACAAACCAACAGGATAACAACATCAAGCAGTGCAACCATATTATATACAAGTTAATTTTTTTTCTTTCTTATACAAAGCATTATTATAAAAAGAATAACAAAGAACATCAAAATAAGGTTGAAAGCTACATGAATGTAATTTGTTTTAAGATTAACTTTATTGATCCAAGGCATAAATTATGTATTCTTTTGCTACATGTAATGCTAACCTTTTGATACAGAAGTGCAATATAATCCACTTTTAAGTCTTCAAAACAGTTAAAATCTTCATTTTAAATGTATTAATTTGGAAAAATAAACCTCAGTCACATGTCATTCGCCGGTCTGGTGTGTGTTGACAAACCAAGTAACAGAGCACTGCCCCTGGTGGTTAAGATTTTCCCAGCACTTTTGTGGCTCCACCCAGTGGAAGAGGCTCCACTCACCTGTTTCTGGGCACTCATCACGTCCTGCCTGCATGTGATTGGACCCCGCCTTCAAACAAGTCTATGAGTCAAGAAACAATAACCAATAAGACAAAATGAAAGAAAAAATGCACTTAAGTACAATAGAAGTACAATAAACACATTGCTACTCATCTATATTCTAATTTTCTGAAAGATCTGCTGTCAATGCAAATGCAGCAGAGTGGCTTGGTGGCTCATTGGGAACATTGTGGTGCCACATCTCCAAGGCTGCAGGTTTGATTTCCATCCTGGCTGTACTTGTTGAACTTGCATTTTATATTTTGACTAATTTTGAAATTATACACAAAAATGTATATGCACTAATAAACTCTAATTTCTAATTATGTAACTGTAAAATCTTTAAACAATCATCACAGACTTAGTATGATAAGGGATCCCATAAATGTTATAACAAAATTGTGACCTGAAATTTTGGACCAGGACAAATAACTTTCACTGCAGAAAGCAGTGTCCCCTTTTAACCCTTAAACCTGTTACACCCTGCCCGTCCGATCCTCCCATGTGCCACGCCCCCCTCGTTAACCTCGAGTCAAATCCCAATGTCACCAGCTGTTTTCTGTTATTTCCAATTAGTCCTATGTATTTCAGTCCACGTTAGAGTATGTTTCCCCTGTCCTGTCATTAACGTCCTTCGTCGTTGCTGCCAGTCCTTCCCGTTTGTGCTGTTTCTCCCCAATAAACCCGAGTTTCCCTAGTACCTATGGACCTATGGTGGTTCCCTGCTCGACATGTCCGCAGCAAGTCATGACAAAATCAATGACTAACAATAATATTAAGGCTCTATTGTGATTCTTATGTAGCATACACTTTCATTCAATAAACGCTTGAAGGTCTATAATATTTCCAGAATAGGTTGCTAGACATTAAACAGAGACCAAACAGAGTGTCTATCTAGATCAAAGGTGCAATAGAGAAGCTAAGGAACTTAGATGGTAAGTTTCCTTGATAACAAACGCAGATCATTAGCCACCACCGATAACCACATGATGTATTACATTACAACATGGCTAAGAAAGAACAGGAAAAAGCGACACTTGGATTCTGTACGGGTCTCCAAACTGCTCTAAGTTTGCAACCAGATCCTCAAAATCAAGGTGGGGGAAGATTTCACCTGACCAGCCCTGGAGACCCTCCAGAAGCACTTCAAGGTCCACTTCCTAAAGGAAGAGCTTGACTGGGTTATGCGCTATAGCCATGTTTCCATGAAGTCTCTCCCAATTTAGCTTTGATTGGCCAAATATCTGCATTCATTTGCATATTACATATTAATTTACACATTTAAACATTTCAATATTTTACATTTACATTTACGGCATCTGGCAGTGCTTAGAAGTCGCATCGGTGAATACATTTTGATCCTGGTTCAATAGAAACCGGGCTAAGGATACCATCAGTCTAAAAACTCTGTC